CAGTTTCCTACCTTTTGAATCAGTGGGTATAAAAGCTGTCCATATAGTCTGACTGAACATTTTATAGATAGATAGATAGATAGATAGATAGATAGATAGATAGATAGATAGATAGATAGATAGATAGATAGATAGATAGATAGATAGACAGACAGACAGACAGACAGACAGACAGACAGACAGACAGACAGACAGACAGACAGACAGACAGACAGACAGACAGACAGACAGATAGATAGATAGATAGATAGATAGATAGATAGATAGATAGAACCAACGAACGAACGTGCCAAACAACCTTGTCAGTATCTATGTACTTCTGTACCATTCTTTATTTGGTCTATTGCATAAAATCCTGTTAAATTACTTGTATCTTTAACAAGACTAACTGTGAAAAGTTGAAGGTGTGCAAATACTTTTGCAAGGTACTGTATTTTAATTGGTGTTTTCTTGAATGAGGAGAGATTCTTTATTATCTTTAAGAAAGCTTACAAGTTTTCCAAATATGTTGATTATATCCAGATTTTAGAACTTAGGATTTATGAAAATCAGTCAGATTGTTAAAGGATTATAAGAGGAATGCTGGTGAAGAAGATAAATTTACTTCACCTGGGATTATCTCCTTGATTGTTATCAATCATGCATGTGTTATGTTACATTGAAATGGCCTGGAAAGCATTAAACAGCTTCTCTGACCATTTAAATTGATTTCACAGGTTCAGTAACAGGTACTGGAGCCAAATTCTTCACTAATAATAGAGTTTTCTTCGCCCCGTATTCACTAAGGGAGCTTAAACCAAATGTACCCTCTTTCCACTCTTCATATCAGCTTAGGCCAATCTTGGAAAATAACCTGTTATAACTTTGCTGGCTGTCAATCAGTAGTGGAGCATTTGAGTAAGCTTGAATTGTGCCAAACTAATAATGGCTATGCATACTGCCAGGTTGTCTTCCAAATGTTCAGTTTTTATGACAGTCAATTCTCAACCATCTTCACCAAGGGCTTTTTTTGATTTCTTCCTGAATTTTGAAATTGATCACAAGCTTATAACAACCTGTTTATTAGTCAAAATTAAAGGGGTCCATGTTTTACAAAGGAAAATATAATTGGTTCATAGGAAATATTTTGACCAAATGAGTTGGAAACTGGATAAGAAAAGTTTCTCCAGCCAACAATAACACATCTCCTTACAACATCTGACTACCATATTTTGCTCTTTTGAGTTTACTTTAGCAGGTTTCTCCTTACATTTTTTTTTGCCTTCTGTCATCACAAGTTTAAAGCTTAGAATACATTTATATACCTTTATTTAACCTATTGTAAACATTTCTAAAAAGTCTCCAAATGACTCAAACACAACACCATGGTGCTTTCCTTATTCCATGAGCCTCGTGTTAAATTTTGACTTTCCACTTTTGGAGTAAATATTTATAAACATAACTTTAAACCTCAATGCATCTCTGAAAAACTTAAATTCAGAGTTATAATAGAGAAATAGTATTTCTAAAATGTTTACCTATAAGGACAGCTGCAAAACGATCAGGCCCCTAAGGTTTTGAGTGACTGTGTAGTTCCTCTCAGAGCTGTGGGCTCAGTCACAAGAGCAGCTCACAGTGGAAACTGTCAAGTACCCAGATGCAAAACCTCTTTCGGTCAATCAGCTTTCACTGTACAAGGCACCAAAACATGGAATACATTACCTGCAGAACTGAAGGGAGAGTCAAACTGGGTCCTTTTTAAACATAAACTTAAAGACTTTTTATTGAGAGGTCAGACATGTGAACATTTATAATCTAACTGACCTGATCTTGTTTCTGTGATGTTTTAGTGTGTAATTTGTTCTGTTGTTTCTCGTGTACAGTAACTATGTTTTGTGTAAAAGCCTAACTGGGGACAGGCATTGAGAATTAGCCTTAGCCAAAATGTTGTAGTGTGTGGCATGATTAATGAAACATACTTGTCCCTATTAAATAGATGAATAAAATAATAATAATAATAAAAACACATATTCATGTTTACCTATAAGGACAGCTGAAAAACATAATGTATATATAAATAAGTAAAAGTACTCTAACTCATATAAGAAATTACTCAATTACAAGTTAAGTTACCAGTACAAAATGTTACTGAAATAAAAGTAAAAAAAAAAATCTTGGAAAAATTTAACTTTTATTAAAAGTGTCTTAAGTAGGCTACTGATTAATTAATTAATAAGATACAGTTTTGTTAAAGAAAATACAGCATAAAAATAAAAACACATCATCCAATTTATTTATAAAGTACTAATTCATTCCTTTTTCTCACTGTAATTGACATATGACACTTTACATTATTGGGAGGTAATATATGTAGCTGCTGCCTTTAAGGTGCTTAAAAGCTGATCAGTTATTTATAATAGTGTTACACCGATACCGACACCAGTATTGGGGCCCTGCCTGATACTGATACTGGCGCTAAAATGGTGGTATCGGTATCGGCAAGTACCGACAAATAGGGAAACGTTACCATTTTCATTCTACTGGATTCACTTAGTATTAGTCTTTTCATGCTTCACAAAGGTAGGCAGCAACTTGACAAAGCCATGATGGCAATTATTTTACATCCAAGTAGTATGCAGTTCTTCATATATATACACACATCAATTTCAAACGTATGGTATTGGTATCGGCCGATACTGCACAGCCAGGTATCGGGTATCGGTATCGAGGCCAAAAAATGGCATTGGCACAACACTAATTCATATGGATAGCACTTTATTTTATGCCTCTGTGTTCAAGATATTCAGTCACTAGAGTGACCTCTCTAAGAAAAACAACATTTACAACATCTGCGATGCTTATGAGCAAAAGACAAAACTTTTTCTCAACTTTGGGTTTGTTTTGTGACTCATTTTTACAGTGTTGCTTAACATCACACTCCCCTGCTTTCCAACTAAAAAATAACTTCAGCAAAGTTCACAAAAAGCTCAGAGAATCACCTTTCACCGGCCTCACCCAGTTACAAGCTGTTCTGCTGTCTTTATAGCTGCATTTTATTTCAAATTTATTAGAGATATTTTCTAATTTGACCTGGTCAAAAGCTTGAAATGGCTTTGATTTGTGTGACAGTGAGACAGAAGTTAGAATTCCAATTATAATAAAAACTAAGACCTCATTTTATAATAACATAAATATACCAATTTCTAATTATTTTGTAGCAAATAAGAATAACTACCTTAGTTATGTTTTAAATAAAAACTATGATATTACAAGACATATTTGTATTCAAATTTCTGTGGAAGTAAGACAAAATGTGGGTATTTTTATTCATACTTATGAATCCAACTTTAACCATTAATACAAGCACACAGTAAACACTCATGAACACCTTTACTTCTGTATCTCTTACAAATGCTATACATTTTTGTCATAATGGGCTTTAAAGATCTGACCCACATGCAGAGAACCACTCAGAGACCAAGGGTAAAAATTTAACAGGTTTATTGTAGGTTTGCAAACACTGATGGAGATTGAAACTCTGTGGGGAAACAAGGCTGGAACTCAGCGGACTGGTGAACCGGAACCGGAAACTCTGAAGGGGAGATCCCAGTGATCAGTTCAGGGACAGTGGGAAAATAGACTGAGGCTTGAATATTCCTGGAGAGGCACTCCCTCTTGGGGGGCTTTTGGTTTATCCTTGGATCCAGTTTGTGGGGGGTTTAATCCAGAGAAGAGGGAACCCATTGGAGAGCGGACAGGCAGACATACACTATATTGCCAAAAGTATTTGCTCACCTGCCTTGACTCACATATGAGCTTAAGTGACATCCCGTTCCTAATCCATAGGGTTCAATATGACGTCGGTCCACCCTTTGCAGCTAGAACAGCTTCAACTCTTCTGGGAAGGCTGTCCACAAGGTTTAGGAGTGTGTTTATGGGAATTTTTGACCATTCTTCCAGAAGCGCATTTGTGAGGTCGCACACTGATGTTGGACGAGAAGGCCTGGCTCTCAGTCTCCGCTCTAATTCATCCCAAAGGTGTTCTATCGGGTTGAGGTCAGGACTCTGTGCAGGCCAGTCAAGTTCATCCACACCAGACTCTGTCATCCATGTCTTTATGGACCTTGCTTTGTGCACTGGTGCACAGTCATGTTGGAAGAGGAAGGGGCCAGCTCCAAACTGTTCCCACAAAGTTGGGAGCATGGAATTGTCCAAAATGTCTTGGTATGCTGAAGCATTCAGAGTTCCTTTCACTGGAACTAAGGGGCCAAGCCCAGCTCCTGAAAAACAACCCCACACCATAATCCCCCCTCCACCAAACTTTACACTTGGCACAATGCAGTCAGACAAGTACCGTTCTCCTGGCAACCGCCAAACCCAGACCCGTCCATCAGATTGCCAGATGGAGAAGCGCGATTCGTCACTCCAGAGAACGCGTCTCCACTGCTCTAGAGTCCAGTGGCGGCGTGCTTTACACCACCGCATCCGACGCTTTGCATTGCACTTGGTGATGTATGGCTTGGATGCAGCTGCTCGACCATGGAAACCCATTCCATGAAGCTCTCTGCGCACTGTTCTTGAGCTAATCTGAAGGCCACATGAAGTTTGGAGGTCTGTAGTGATTGACTCTGCAGAAAGTTGGCGACCTCTTCGCACTATGCGCGTCAGCATCCGCTGACCCCGCTCCGTCAGTTTACGTGGCCTACCACTTCGTGGCTGAGTTGCTGTCGTTCCCAAACACTTCCATTTTCTTATAATACAGCTGACAGTTGACTGTGGAATATTTAGGAGCGAGGAAATTTCACGACTGGATTTGTTGCACAGGTGGCATCCTATCACAGTTCCACGCTGGAATTCACTGAGCTCCTGAGAGCGACCCATTCTTTCACAAATGTTTGTAAAAACAGTCTGCATGCCTAGGTGCTTGAATTTATACACCTGTGGCCATGGAAGTGATTGGAACACCTGATTCCAATAATTTGGATGGGTGAGCAAATACTTTTGGCAATATAGTGTACGTTGGACCCAGAGGAGTAAAGGAGCGGACGGTCACTTGGTTTTCTAGGAGTGGAATTGAACGGATCATGTGGAGGTTTTCCCCTTGGTCAGTGAGACTCAGTAAATCCTTCCAGGGGTAGAAGGTCCAGGCTTTTCCAGTAACACAGGAAGTCTTTCTGCCAAAGAACAAAGACAAAAAACAAGTTCAGACTCAGAGAAACAATGTTAAGGTTAGACTCTGCTAATCTAAGTTTGGCTAGAGTACCCAATACTGGGAAGCACTCTGGCGTTGAGGTGGTGACAGCCCGCTGCTCAAGTACTCCTCTGGTAATGACCCAATGAGCCGCAGGTGTGCAGGCAGGCTCAATGAGGACAGGGGACTGCCTAGTGGTGGAGAGAGGAAAACACAAAAAACAACCCACACAAACTGGAATCCTAACAATTTTTAGTAATCTCTGTCTAAATGTTTTGATTTTTCTGATCAATTTTCTGATGTTGCAAGATGCTACAACAGATGGATATTATAAGACTCATCAGGTGTAAACAACAAACACGGAATGTGCCTATATTTCTTTATGTAAACAAAGAAGCACGTCTGAGACAGGATTTCAGGAACACCCAACAAATTAGACAGTTTACAAGAGTCTTTCCTGTCAGCCCCCCTCAGACATCCCTGACTGTGACTCAGGAAGACTTTGATTGGTTTCACTGCCCCTACACACCCATCCACCCGCCCCATTTCCTCATCCCTTTACACTCCTCAGCTTACTCATTTGATTTTCTTTTCTGGTAACAATGTATGGAACACCTCTCAATGATAATCAATGTTTTCATTTTTACCACCTACACAACTTCCCCTCCTTGGTGCCCTGCCTTTCATTTTTGACTGGTTGCATGCTGCTATGAGCAGTGGGAGTCTGCTAATGTGTTTTTCTTCTCTGTATCTCTTAACTTCCTTTATACATACAGACAGGAAGAGAGCATTAAGTCTGCAACGATACAGGCCTCTAAAGTTTCTTCTTTCAATTTCAGCTCTGCTTTCTTTAAATAGAAAAGAAGCAAGAATGTTAATATCAGGCAATTATGCTTAGTGCAGCCTCTTTTATCGCTTCAGCTTATCAAAACAAACTGTGTTTACCAGACAAAATAAACTAGAATCTAAGACATTGTATTAAATCTTGGAATGGTGCTAAAGTTAATCTTGTTGTAGCGACAAAGCTTCTGTTTTAGTGCAAGCCATATACAGAGATGATCTGAGGAGTCTGTAATGTATACAGGAGAGCAGTGCAGCTGTGAAAGTGACAGTTCACAGTAAATATATGCTATGTTTGGTATCCACTGGTATCTTGTCTGATGCGTGACTGATAACTAGGAAATTTAAAGCCTGTTTAGCTGCATATCTTCACACGTTTTTCCCCTTAAAGAAGAACTTTACTGGTTCATGTCAAAGTTATAGAACAACATTCTTGCAGAGGCATTCATGCCCTTTAAACATTTACATATTTTCATCAAACAAACAGAATTAACAACATTTTTCCATTGGATTTAATGTGATAGACCTACGTAATGCTGGGCTTGATTTGTGAGATGAAAAAAAAACATTGTATGTGGTTTTCCATGTTTCTTATGGAAAAATGGAGCCTAGGTTAAAGTTTAACTGAAGAAACTGATGGCTTGCCTACATTTACCGGCGACACAGCCAATCAGCTTTGAACCACACCTCCACGAAAGCCAATTGGCATCCAAAGTTCAGCTTAAAAGCCCTCCGATCCGCAGCTCGTCCGCTAGTTAGTGCGCAGGTGATGGTTGCGCTGTGTGACTTCATTCAGATAACCCCCTTGCAACCCTCCTCCAGCTCCTCCTCCACCATTGTAGCTAAAACTTCATCAGAGTTTCATTATTCCCGGAATCTTACTGCATTCCGCATCTCATTTCAACTGGTCCAGCAGAAGACCGCCATGTTGAGCCTGGTTCTGCCAGAGGTTTCTTCCAAATGGGGAGTTTTTCCTCTCCACTGTTGCTTCATGCTTGCTCATCATGGACAGGTTCTCTCAGCCTGTGTTATCTAACTGGACTTCCATCTTCCAGGTCCCTGAGTGAACCTCTATCTCCACTCCACCACCAGTTTCAGGCCTTGGGGGGAAACAGCCCTGTTCTTTACTCCTGTTCATACATATCTATCAAAATTCACCACTGTGATTCCTGCAGAGGTCTCAGCGCCAAAGACTCAGTAATTCTATCAATCAATTTCTTCTAATTGTCTTTTCTCTTCGTGTGAGTTTTTCAGATTGAACCATCAAACTGTATCCATTGTCATGATCTCGCCCTGATGACTGGCCAGATTACTTATTTCATTCACCTGCCAAGCTCCGACCAGTTCTCATTACCGCTCATCTGATCCACCTGCTTCAGCCTCTATTTAACAAGCCTTCAGCCAGTCATCAGTGCCAGATTATTCAAGCCTTTGGAGAGAGTTCTCTAGCTTTCCTGAGTGTTTTTGATGTGTGTCTTCCTGATCCTGACCCGTTCTGCCCCTAGACCTCTGAGCCTGCCTGTCCCTGTTCTGATCTGTTTGCCTGACCTGTCCTCGGGCTCCTGCTGGATTCTGCCTGTCTCTGGACCAAACTTAGAACTGATTCCTGACACTGTCCTGGATTTCCCTTCTGTACCTTTTCGGATCTCTGATCTTCTTGCTCTGACTCCTGAGCACCTTCTCAACACTGGCTTTGGCCTCGCCCTCTTGATCCTGCCTTCTTTCGTCTGCTCAGATCTGATCTCCTGCCTGTTCTCTGACCTCCGGGACTTCAGCATCTGGGACTCTCTGGGCAGCGCCGGCCATTTCTTGTTGCCAGCTGACCGGCTGGAATCAACCTCATCCTCTGGGCTTGGGCTGAAATCTAAGACCGGGTTAGTGACTCACACGTTCATCATCATCCTCCTTCAGATAGACGGGGTCACCATCTGTATCCTTCTCCTTTAGAGGTTCCTGCCGTAGATGCCGATGCTGTTCTCTGCAGTTCAATCTTAAATAAACACTTTGTGAAAATTGTCTCTCTGCCTCAAAAACTGGGTTCTTTTGTTCTGAGCCTGGCATCCCTCTCTCTTTATATTTTCTTTTCCTTATAAAAATTCACTGCAACAAAATGCCTTGAAAAATCCCCAAGCTAGAGGTCAAAATGAGTGATTTAAAACAAGTATAACTACTGCTGCTTTAGCCACTTTCTTAAGGGCTTGTAGAAATGGTTATATCCAACGCCTAGGACTTCTCATGCAACAATTTTAAATGCATGGCTTAAAAGGGGAAAGAATATTGTACAACTGCAAAACCTAACAAGACATGACAGTCCAACATTACTGAAGAAACATGTAAATAGGAAAAAAAAAGTGATTCTACAGGCCAGAAAATCTGGATTATGGAAGTGGGGCATGATTGTAGGTCACTTGATATCACTGTTGGAGTGTTGTTTTTCAGTTTAGTCCTGTTTCTCTGACTGCGTCTAACTGTATGTGCTCTTGTTTATCCTCTGACATGGGAGCTGGCTCAGAGCTCTTCTGCCTGCCTGTGTGTTTCCCGGACCGTGCCGCCTTTGTATCTTTGCTTCTTCCTGTATGTCTGCTTCTGTCTCCTTGAACCCAAGTCGGCCTCGGCAGATGGCCATTCACAATGAGCCTGGTTCTGCTGGAGGTTTCTTCCTGTTAAAGGGGAGTTGTTCCTCTCCATTGTCGCTACAAGCATGCTTAGTGTGAGGGATTGCTTTCAAGTCAATGAGTCAATACAATCAGCTGGTTTTCCCTTGATAGAAAACATTGAATCAATCTGACAGAATGATTTGGTTGATTTGTCTCTGTGAAGGGGCTTGAGATGAAGTGTGTTGTGAATTGGCACTATATAAATAAACTGAACTGAATTGAATTAAAATTACTGATTGTTTCTATGTGATTGTTTCTAAAATAGTGGTGGCCAAACTTTTTCTTCCCCCCTTCCCCAAACAACATTGGCTACCACTTTGCTTCTAGCATGATGCTGTTTTAGATTATCCTACGAATATCTAATAGCACATTTCTCTGCCTTATTTCCACTGAATAACAAATTTTTCTACACATTGTTGATGATAGTAAAACAAGAGAAATGAAATGTATGCATATATAGTGGGAGAGCTAAGCTTAACATCTGTCAGTGCTATACGCATGTTACTGTGAACAAATACATTTTGAGTACCTTTAAAGATAAAAAAAAGTCGCACATAAGTATTCCAAAAGAGAAAGGCATTTTTAACCACCTGCCAGCTGGGGTAGTCCTTTTTATATGCAGTCAGACAGGAAGGCTCAAAGTTCAGTTTTAACTCTAAGTATCATTAAAAGCTATGCTCTAAAATAATGATTCCAAAATATATAATATTCAAATTTTTTTCTAATTTTCTCCCTATTTTCTGAGGCCCCACTTTGCGTTTCTCTATCACACAACATTCTAATAAAACACATCAAAGCTTGCAGATTTTACATGAAATAAAGTTCAAATCACTGTCAATTTATTATCAAAAAAATTTTTTATGCTTTACTTTTAGTATATTTTAATGCAATGTTCACTATAGGAATTAACTCAGATTTCACATGCAGAAAGCAAATCACTATTATATTAATTTATACTGTCTTTTATTAGAGATAAGTAGCAATGTTCTACTCAGGTAGAAGTGTGGTTAGAAAAAAACGTAAACTATATTAAAGTAGATGATGTCTCAGATAACACATTTCTGTTGCAGATTCAAGTTCCCTTAAATAAAAAGCACTGTGTAGCAATTACTAGTATTTCTCATTTTAGCTAAGACTCCTAAAATACATAAAATCCACTTTGTAACATATTGTCTTCCTTGTTGTTATTTACATATATTTTTGCACACAGAAAATGCTAAGAAATTTTAAATCTTTTGCCAAATGACTATAAATCCACATACTGCACAGTAAACAAAAATACTAAAAAGCACTTTTAGAGTCAGAGAGGAAACAGCTGCTCTGCCTTCCAGTGGGGTTCTGTCATAACTATATACGGATATGTTGGTTCTGTGCTGTTGCAGGGAAGAGTAGTGGCTTTTACTTACTTGTGGCTAAATAATAAATAACACAGCAAATTATAAAGCAAGAGATATATAAGATGAATTCCCTATGGTTGCAGCAATGTGAGCTTCCTGTACTAAAAGCACAGTGGGTTATAGAGGCATGGCTTTGCTATACCACCAAAGGATAAACTTCAGAAAAAGAATTATGTCAAGTGACAGCTTAAAGTGAAAAAAAGCAGACCCATTAGTTCTGATTACTCTTTGATGAGAACCCGCTTTTGACTTTCTTCTGAACTCTGACACTAACCAGATGGAGATGAGCAAATGGAAATAATGTTTTATCTCAATATTTTTTTCTCTTTCATGTTCACTGTCAAGCCTTGTTTTATTCCCCATATCATATCCCATTTGGTAAATAGCAATTTATTGTTCAGCCATGTCTAAATCAAGTGATATTATAAACAGTTAATTGCCTTTTTTATAGCAACCGCCAGCCATCAACATAATCTATTGAGATTATACGCTAAAGACTGATAAGGTATGCCATACATATAAAGTAGAATGGAAAGAATTAGTTTGACGCTTGACAAAACTTTGAAAAATGTAGAATTGAATTAGGTTTTCTGAAACGCCTAATAAGCTGCAAGCTTTTCAGGTTTATTTCTCTACAGGCTGAACATTTTGCTGTTGTTCAAATAGCTCAAATTCCCTCAGATTAGACAGGGAGCCTCTGTGAGTATTACATATCAGCTGTCTTTTCTTATTGTACAATTGTACCTTATGAATATGTTTTTTCCAATTCCACCATAGCTCTTGGTGTACAGTATGTAGTAGGTCTTTATACTGCTTGAAGGTTACGATTTTCTCCAATCAGCATTTTTTTTTTTTTTTTTTACTATTATCTGATTTTCTTCTAGGACTGTTTTGTATGTAGTGCCATCCATCTTTTGAACAACTAACAAACAAATAATCAGCTTCCTTGTACCTGTTGAAAATAACCTTTCCCATTACATAATGTTTTGTCTGACCAAAATCCCATCTGTACATAAACACCAACATTGTTTGTGGACAACTGTAAAAGCGATTTTTTTTATGGATTTTGGACATAAATGGCTTTCTTTGGTAACTCATGGAGCATACAACTACTTAACTTAGAGACTAAGACTTATCGTTATGCAAAACAAAATTTCTTTTTTTACAGATTTCATGACATTTCCATTTCTTACAGTGAAGCAGTGATCAAATGTAAATGTGGGAGAAAAAAAATGGTGCAACCCCCCCCCTCCCCCGAAAAAGAAAAAAAAAAACTGCATTGATTTGGAAGTTCAGAGCATTCAATATATATGGTGCAATTATGCAGTGTTTTAGTTTGGTGTTGTCTGTGTGATGCCGAGTCTGTGACATGATTTAGAGTTTTCTCAACAGTTCAGTTGTCTAATGTTGGTGGGGAAGAAGCTGTTTCAGAATCTGTTGGACCTGCTACGAATGCTGAAAATCCTCTTCCCAGAAGCTGGCAAGAGGAACAGTCCATGGTGAAGGTGTGAGGGGTCATTGATAATGTTACAGGTATAATAGTCCGCACTATAGAACCTTTACAAAACCTCCACAATTACCATTGATGGACCTCTTGGATGTGGATGGAATTTGTATGGTTTCCCCTGTTAATGTTGGTAGGACTTCTGGTTAATCTCCCACAGTCCAAACAAACGACTGTTTGACGTTTTTATATTTGTTTTTTGCTTTGTTTGTTTTGTTATTACATAAAATCCCCCTGAGATGTATTGAAAGTTGTGATTGTAGCAAAAAGTAAACAGTCCAGTGTGGCTGAATCCATCTGGAAGACACTTTTGGAAAAGGGCTTAGGGTTGACTTTGAAATCCTCTCCATTAGATTCTTACCATCTTATCATCTTATAACAATTAGCTTAGAAGCAACAGGCAGCAAAGTTTTAACTGTCTTAATCTGAGCATTGACATATATATATATATATATATATATATATATATATATATATATATATATATATATATATATATATATATATATATATATATATATATATATATATATATATATATATCTTTCAGATGAATAATACCTGAAGCAGAAACACTCGAAAAGATCAAAATGTCAGAGAACAAATCTGATCTGAAAGGTCTTTGCGTCCGACACACATATGGGATCATATAAGTATCTTCAAAGTGACCCAAGGTTAACTCCCTGGAAGAACAAAAACAATAGTCTGACAAATGAGGGCATCAATCAGAGATCACCTCAATCTCCTCTCACTGTGAGTATGATGGGGCTGGGAGCTTACCTTCACACATAAGGTCAGGATCCCCTGCTTCTGTCAACAACAAGGAAGGTTCAGTTCCACTGCAATAACTGCTTCTCTGTCTCTGTCACAGACATGTTGGGATCACTTTCAGCAGTAGCTGTGATGCTGATTGTGTCTCTGTCATATATTAGTTACATAAAACTTTAAACTTTCAAATTGATTTGGATGTGTGCTTTTGAGTGCACCAAATAAGGAGCAATAAATTTGATTTAAAAAAAAAGTGCAATAAGTCAAAGTATTGCATTTATGCAACTCATATTACAAGTGCAATGGATAAATCATGCAAACTGGTTCAGCCCCATTTACATGAGTAAACTATGTGAGCTGCTGGCATTTTGAGTGAGGCTGAAAACAAGGAGAAATTCTAGCCATTGAATTAAAGATTGTAAGAAAAAAAAAAAAAAAAAGACATGCAACAATCCCAGCTACCAGCTACAATAACATAGTGAAGGTGAAAACAACCACTTTTTTTAATTGAAGGGGTGTCAAAAGTATTGATATGCTTTTTTTTAAAGTTGAGCACCCCCTAAAGATATTTTATGAAACAGGTTTAACCTGATTTAAATTGACCATTCACTATTAAATGATGTGATGACAAAAAGTGTTGTAGTCATCTATGAGACAGATATCTACTAAAACATTCACGCAGAGAGCACTCTCCAGGTCTATTTAGCTCAGTTCACTTAAGTTTATTTATATAGCTTCAGTCCATAATGAAAATTTCTTAAATTGCATCTTTCAAGACAAATGGATAGAATGCATTCCATATTAAACATAACATCCTTTGGTTAAGCTGAATTTAAATCAATTCAGTTTATTCTGTAAAGTTTAGCTGATCATCTTGAGACCAGAAAACAAAGAAACACTGAATGGGTACTGAACTGTTTAAGACTAAAAGCAGAAAAAAAAAAAATGCATAAAAGTTCACTTCCAGTTATGTGGTGAATGATTTCAACCAGGAGGTAAACAGTGCCAAAGTCATAGGAGTCGATAGGCCCAGAAATACCTTTATATGAAGGAAAAACAAAAAGAATTTAAACACATTAATGGCTTGTGTCAATATCTTAAAGGAAGACAGAGACCAGACTAGGAAAATAAAACACAAAGCAATATTTATAATATTTATGCCCCTTTAAACAAATCTAAAAACTACTCATAAAAATCTTTTACTTAAACAAAAAAAAATTATTTGGTTTCAACTCTCTTTCAATCTGGGTCAGAGATATTATGTAGCCAAAATATTCACTACCTAGGATATTTAGGTTTAAAGTAACCATATAGAGTAATATTTCAGCATAGAACTTAATAATAAAAAAATAAAAAAAATCTGTGAGGCAGCTAAGAATTATGGTGATGGCAAGGAGGACCTTCATCCTCAAAGACTTGGAGCTCAGCATCAAACATTAATTGTCAATAAAACAGTGGAAACATGTAAAACACTGCTGAGCCTTTGCTGTGGTGCCAATGAATATTTTTCTGCAAATAAACTTTTCTTAAACATATAATTGGTAAATTATTGTTTTGAAATAGACACTTCTTTACAAAGGCTTATCTGAAAACACGGTCACCAAGACGAGAAACCCACAGTGGCATAAGATCAGTTGCCAACATGGAGCTATCTTTATGGGTTTAGGGTTCACACTGAAAACTAATGGGTGCTACTATGATGCAACTCCAACCAAATTAGGAGAAAATAATGAATAGATATTTGTGCTCCATAAATGACATTTTCTTTACATACAATGATTAGACAAAAAAATATCTGTTTCTGACATTTCAAGGCATCGCTATATTTATAACTAGAAATAAAAATAAAAAAGGAAGTAAGGAAAGATTAGAAATGACAAGAAGCAGAAGCAGGAACTGGTACACACTCGCTTCCTCAAGATTTTCTTGAACATTGCAGACTATGTTATTTTTTTCACAAAGACTTACATTATATGATTAGTGAGAAATGTTATAACAAGTGTAATTGTTTTAAAATTCAAAAATGTAAACTGATTATCTTTCTTATTTTATGTATGCTTAGCAATAATAAGGAATGAGATTTCTATCATATTTTGTCTTCAGTCCCTGTTGTCGCTCCACAGGAAAAATGGTGGGGCTTCATTGGTTTGTTTTCAGATTTCTGGGTTGCACAACAGAGCTGCTGTGCCTCTCTGCAGGCAGTTCAACAAAGGAAACATAGCAACGTAGATTACGACAATCATCATTTGAGAAACAAGCTTTGAGTTGTGCATCTCTTCTGTTCATTTGTGTCTTACAGTAACTCACCAGGTGGAGTTAGGGTCATTGTTTTAGCACAACCATGCACCAGTGTTGACTCAGACATAATAAACTGTAAATGTTTATGAAGCATCATTTCACAACAAATGTTACTTAGGCAACTTAACAAGGCTTTTTTTTTTGTGGAGATACCCAAAAATGCACGTGCACCCATGCTTCCAGCACCGCATTCTTGGCATGTCCCATGGCTATTAAGACAGAGGGATATGATATTCAGTCTCAGAGTGTGGTCATTTATTGGCATGACTTCTGACATGAAAACAGGATGAACAACTGGAGGCTGGGGGTGTTGGCAGGGAGGGGACTGTTTAAGTTATGGTCACAATTTAAGACAAAGAAATCTGTTCTGCGTTTCAGGGTGCAAGTACTTTAACAGAGACGGAGAGCAGCCAAACCATAAGCAAAAGGTACTAAGATTATTGCACTTAAAATGAGAACTTTCTACTTAAAATCATTATAAAATATATTGGACAAATTAAATGTGATTACTTTAAATTAAGGACACAAACATAAATCATTGTGTGTTTAACATGTTTATTTTTGTGTTTTTGTTTAGCTTTGTCTTTTAGTATTTTACCTGTTGAGAACATGTACCAGTAATTACATCAGAATACTTGGCCTCTCCCCTGCGTTTATTCAACTCAGCACAACAAATGGACCGTCAGCTGTCCAAGAACTATTATCACCACCCACTGAGCTGACATTTCAACCTGGAGAAACCACACAGAGGAAGGAGCAATTAGAATGATTTATTGACGTAAAGAAAAATATGTCATTTGAGCAGAGACCCTGGCAGAAGGTGTCAGCATTGAATACAATAGATCTGCAAGAAGGGATAGATTCAATTCAATTTATTTATATAGCAGCAATTCACAACACACATCATCTGAAGGAACTTAACAGAAAGAATTTAATTGAGGATACTTTCAGCCTGGATGTCCACCTGGAAACAGCGCATATTGGCTTCTATTATTTCATTGACTCTGCAGCAATCCCTCACACTGAGCATGCATTCAGAGACAGTGGAGAGGAAAAACTCCCTTTTGTTTTAGAAATACATTATGTATCAGTGTAGTGTTGGAATAATTATAATTAAGATACTTAATGTTTGTTCTTATGATGTATAATGTGTGACATATTACTGTTCCAGAGACGTGTTGCACAAGCAGTAAAGGTCAACTCTCAGGAAGTATTGCTCAAGCTTAACGAAACCAGGAGGTTCTTGGACCATTTGACCGCAAGACATTTAAATGCAAATTGACCTGTTCACTGAGGCTGCAAATTGAATTGTATTTCTTGTTTCCTATTCCTTTTGTGCAACCTCAGCTTGTGTAACTAGGGACTCACCCTCTGTTTTTAATAAATAGCGAGGAGAAAGCTGAAGACCGGCAGTGTGGGGTGTAGATGTACCTGCACGGTCTCTTCCTACTCTCCTCGCAAGTAAAAAGAATTCTGACTCTGTGCCTTTCTTTCCTTGTTTTACAGTTTTTAGGTGTTAGACCTGATATGTAGTATTTATGTTTAAAAAAAATGTGCTTTTGAAAAGTTTTTTTGAAGGTGTAGTAAAAACAATAATCCTTTCTTGTTTTCCATGATTTACAGTTTTTGTTGTAAGGTCTTGTGCTTTAGGCCTCAGGACCAAGTTACTCATACAAGCAGAGCTCAGGTCTTTAAACTACATTTCAGTTTAATTGCAGTTCACAATTTCACTCAAGATTATCCAGTCAATTCAAACGATTAGTGTTAAATTTAATCCAGTGTTTTTTGTTTTTGAATTGAATACCACATTACTGAAGCTTTTAATTACCAGTTATGTGTGTTCATACTTTACTGTATACTGTGGCAAAATGATAGTGCATGGTAGGCTGAAATGGAAGCAGAAAAACATCTGTAGTAATTTTTACAAAACCGCTTTGTTTACTGGTCAAAGATTGATTTTTTTACTTAAATAATATTCATATAATGTTGTTACCGTCTCAACAACTAGTTGACTGATTTTTGCAGAAGTTGTTATAGTTATTGCATGCCTCCTTCTCCTGATGTAACTCTTTAAGGGGAATTTACATTTTTTTCCTCTAATTATTTCAGTATTTCACTATACAGTTTGGGTTAAAGGGCATTGTATTTGCTTTTGACTTTATTACATGTTATTTTAACTGCTCAGTTTTTACTGACAACCACAGGTTTGTTTACTAGTGTAATGTCAGAGGAGGCAAAGGTGAATACGCCTACATCAGAAATTTGATACCAAGGGTAGCAAACATGAATCAGTAAAACTAGAGAATCTGCAGAAGCCTGAGAGGACTATTATGTTACAATCAGAGTATGGAGTAAAAGACTTTGACGCAGTTTCCAAAATATTAATCTTGATGTCATAACTGTGTGAAAGTTAAGTTTTGACATGCTTAGCCATGGGCAAAAAGAAATGTCTGATGTTATGAACTCTGTGCAGAAACGCTGTATTTCTGGCCCTTCTGGGGGGGGGGGGGGGGGGGGGGGTCACATCTCCACAGGTATATTCTATGCTCCTCAGTGGGAGTATACTATTAAAGTGTGTGTTTTGTGTTTGACCGTGGCTTGCTGACCTCCCACTGTGCGACCAGATGATGACTGGGATCATAAGATCTGAGTGCCCCCTCTTCGTGTTCTCTTTCACTTTGACTTTTTCGGCTGTCAACCCCGTGCTTCGGGTAGAACATTGTTTGGCCTTTGACCGCGACTAAAGAGCAGCACAAAAAGTCATCTGGTCACGATTACTTGCTACCTTCATCCAGTGATTTCAGATACCTTTTTGGTATTTTTGCTGTACTAGAAGCTTTGAGACCGTGAGTGCGTCTTTGCACTTATGTGTTTATATTACTTTTAAGAAATTACAATATTTGAATAAACTCCTGAAAGAGAATAGATGATATGAGCAGCACATTCTGCATACATTTTTCAGAAACAGCTAACTCAGCTTCATGGTATGGTACTGCCTCCTCTGGAGTAATTCAATAATCAATGGACCTCCCTTTCTTTTGACCTTTGTTGTTTTGCTTCTTTATTGTTTTCTGTCATACTTTTATCTTTACTGCTGTTACGTTTAACTTTGTTACATATGTGGGTTCATTAAATAAATGTTCATTTAATATTACCTGGCATCCTCTATAGCAAGCATGTCCAAAATCGATCCTCAAGCGCTGATTTCCTGCAGGTTTATGAGGTTTCCCTTTTTCACTACAGCTGATTTCCATTGATAGCTGATTAGCAGGCTTTTGCTGAACAGCAATGTGTTAATTATAATGAAACACTTAAATGACAGAAAATCCCCTAAATTGTCCCCTCTAGGAAAACCTGCTTCCAGTTTCTTTCCAAAAAGTTGTTTTCGTCTCAACTGGGCAGGGTTTCCTTTTGTTACTCTTTTGATTTTACTATAAAAATTTACCAAATGCTGAGTGCAGCTGTGCTTTTATATCACCTATCCCTTGAATCTTAGCCAAAACGAACCAAGTCACCTTTTAAGACGTCGTTTTCCGCATAAAAAGAAGGAAGGGTCCTTTTGAAGTACAAGTAAGCGGGCAGCTGAATGCGGTATTTTCTTTGTATGTATGTGTAAATGAGGTCATGTTTGTTTTTCATCTAAGTTTCACAGACCCTGGAGGTTTCCTATTGTTAAGACTTCCCGCAGAAACTGAGCTGGTGAAGCAAGGAAAAGGGAGGATCCTGCAAAATGGAAGCTGACCTGAAAGAAAAGAAAATTTTTAGTTTCAGTTTTAGTTTTAGAAATAAAACTATGACAACATTGACATGGAGTTGTTAATGTGTTTGACAACATTATAGGACAGATATAATTAATTTCTTTTTAAAATAATATAAATCTCAAACCAGAACGTTGATACTGACCAAGATTAAAGCGCCATCCTTAAAATCAATAAAACCAGAAACTAGCCAGTTAGTGTCCTAAAAAGCTTTTTGCTATTTAGCTACATTAAAAAAAGAGTCATTTTTAAAATTAGATTTAAAGAGAAAATATGTTTTTACATCGCTTTGTTAACTTTTGAGAGATGGCCCTCTCATTTATCAGCCAGGGGTATACCAAATATTAGGCTATAATCAGTTTTCTTGGGCTTTAGTTTTGGTCTGCAAAAATGTCAAGGATGATTACATAATTGTTGTAAGAGAAAATTGCCTGATTTTTATTCATTATGCATCTTTATGGTCCTGTATGTTCAATTGGAAAAGGCGGGACTCAGTTTCCAGAGCTCTATCCAAGTGCAGAGAGGTATGATGTAGGGCTCAAGTAAATAAACCTTGGTTGGCCCACTCCAAACTTTTGTAAACCTGTAGAGGCTTTAATAAAACAATCTGTGTTATTCTTTAGTCTTCTGCATAAAAGCTGCCTAAAAAGAATATTTAAACAAATTAAAATTCTTATGTCAACTGTCTTGTTCTGCATTTCTGACTCATCTGGCTGTAATCTCTAAAACTTTCTAGGGTCAAAGACTTTCAATATGCCTAAATTCAAGTCAGTGCTGTGCATTGAGGTTAACCTTTGGTCAGTTGCATCATAGGCTGTAGATTAGCTCAGTGTTATGTTTATTGTTCGTGTCACTGTGAATGGAGCAAAGGCACAGCACTTCCCGTCATTGTGCCGAGCAGGACCTAGACTATTCAAACAACCATTTACCCCCCTTCATTTTCAACTCTGTCACCTCATTATTCTTTCCCCACCACTTTCTTTCTATGCACTTAAATGAGCCATTGGGTCTAAAAGCCACAGCCTTAGTTCAGGCACTATTGTCTTGTCATCTGTGCTTCTGTTTCAGTTTGAGTTCAAAACAACAGGATTTACTGAAAAAACTAAATATGTGACCTTCAGTCCTTAATTGTTACCATACATTGAGGCTTTTTGTCCTATCTGGTTTCTAACTGTGTCAACACACTGTGGGGAAATTGATGAATATTTGTTTTCAAGCCCTATATGATCCCAAAAATAGGTCCCTATATATGCTCAGAATTCAAACAAACACTGAAGCTTTTCAATATCACAAGCCATTAAATGTAATTATATTTTCTCAGCTAGTATTCTCTGGTGAGGTACTGTGCAAAAGACAGCTGAGAGATTTAATAATTCACTTACTGCAGTTCAAGTGTGAGCGACTTCCCTTGTTCTCACTGTGGGGCTGTTCTCTTAAAAGCGTCTCCATATGTGTGCATGGGAGCGCACTCGTGCACGTTTATAGCAGAGGGTCACCAAGGGTCGTCCCTTTTGCCCACTCCAGAGACAGGAAATGGCTCCAATATGGAACTGAGTGAGGCTTCCTTGAAGGCTCCTGGGAGTGATCTGAACTCCAAGATCATTGAGCCAAAATAGACAAAGTGAAAAATACAGATGTTTTGTTCCTCATATTGCAAACCTAGCTCTGTGTCAGGCCTCTTGGTGTCAAGATGCATGGAGGTTTGTAGAGGACAGAGGCTAAGGGGGTTTCTAGCAGATTTAATAATGAGAGTGGTGGCAACAGAAGCATAAATCTAGAAGTAACTAACCAGGGAACACAGGGCTTCAGGAGGGAATGATGAATCCACTAAATGGTAACTGCAGAGGAGGAATATATACTGTAGGACAAACAGAACAATGAATGGAGTAATCTGCTAATTGGGTGCAGGTTTAGACAAAAGTAGGGAAAGGGAGAGTGGTCAACAGAGTAACCAAGAAATACAACAGTTATTA